AAGGGCGGAGTTAGCAAGATGGGAGTCGCAACACCTGACAACCACAGCCAGAGTTACCATAATCAATGGATACATCACACCGATTTTTCTGTTTCAAGCGCAGATTTACCCGCCACCGGACGAAATCTGGGCGAAGATCAAGAGGATGTGCCACAGTTTCGTCTCAGGCGGCCAAATGACAGAGGGCAGAGGCTTCATTCTGTGGAATTATGAGCTGATGTGCACGCCGCGGAAGGATGGTGGGCTGGGGCTGATATGTCCAAAGAAGATGTTCGACAGTATAGCGGCGCAGAACATTGGGAGGTTGGTACTGCAGCCGAAGTCGGTGAAGGAATGGCTGGCGCTGACGGTGGCGGAGTTGCCGTTGGATCTGGACACGCTTTTCGCGCACAAGTCTCTGCTAAGACACTGGGAAAAAGGGAGCAGGAGATGGAAGGAGATGTTTCAAGTTTTTTGGGAAACCCCTTTCAGCAACCCGCCGGAGCCAAAGACGAGATGGGAAGTAGAGAAGGAGAGGCTGGTTTTTAACCGACGGATACCCTTCCGAGGAACAAGCCCTTTCGGGAACCAACAAGGGTCAGTCTGCTTGTGGGAGATGCGGCTGGGTGATGTGGTATGGGGAAAACTCAGCGGAGAGCGTGTGTTAAAAAGCCTGGAAATGCTGGAGCTGGAGCTGGGCAGTGAAGAAGCGGCGAAGTGGGCGCTCAAGGCCTTCGACTCAGCCCCGCGAGAATGGAAGGAGCTGTTGCTGACTGCTCCGGCGAGCGAAGAGGTGGCGGCGGTGGTACCCATGCTGAGAACTGGGGTACGGGAGGGCGCAACCCCCTCGTACTGGAAGGTGTGCGGGACATCGGGCTCCGAAGTCACGGGGAAACTTTGCCGAGTCGACGGTGCGGGAAGATACAGCGTTTGTGACGGGGACAAGCTAACGGTCAATTTTGACCCCCAGAGCCGCCTGATTGAGCCGATGGCAGCAGACGGGGAGAAAATACTGGGGCCGATGGGTGAAGCAAGGACGAGACTACTGCAAACGCAGCTGTGCAAGGAAGGCGCTGTAGCGCCACTCAGGGAGGTTAGGAGGGTTCTGCAGAGCTCGGCTGGCACGGCAAAAGGGCAAAGAAGATGGGAAGGGCATGGAGCGGTAATTGAGTGGGACAGAGTCATCAAGCAGAGGGACTCCATTGTCACACCTGCCCGGGCACGAGACGTTCTGTTACGGCTGCACTGCAGAAACTTGCAAGTGAGGACGAGGCTACAGTTTCTGAACTACAAGGTGGTTTGCCCACACTGCAAACGGGAGGAGTCACCGGAGCACTGCCTACTCGGCTACCCGGCGATACAAAAAGTGGTGAATTTCTTACAGGATGGGCTGAGGGTGATGAATCCGGAGAAGAGTTGGGGTGACCTGGAAGACCTGTTGTTCATGCAGAGGAGCACGAGGTAGGGATTTCCGGAGAGTTCCTTCATAGCCACCACGTTTCACCAGATTTGGCTGGCGAGATGTGATGCGAGCATCCACAACATTCAGTTCCAGACAAAACGAGTGATGCGGCGAATTGTGGTGAATTTTGCACACGCACGGGTGTACTGCTTGACACGGGAATTTGCTGCAAGGAAGCAAGGAGTGTTGGTAAACAGTGATGCGTGGGATCATTTGGAGGCTGACGAGGCAAGAGTCATGAAGAGGATTTGCACCAAGGCTGCACCGCTGACGTGGAGGGTTTGCTTCAGCTCCTTCTGGGACAACCCGAAGCTGACGCATCAACCACCATAGGTTGAGAAAGGGGACCCGTGGTACCAATAGCCTCGGCCCTCCCCTATTTACACAGTTACGACTGATGATGTTTTTACTACATTCCTGTAATGTATTATCACATCTTAAAAAAAAAAAAAAAAAAAAAAAAAAAAAAAAAAAACAAGCAATCGGGGGCAATCTCTCGATTGCGATCGAAAACCCGATCGATTGCGATCGATCGCCCCGATCTCACACAACCGATTGCAATCGATAGATTGCTTCAGATCGCGGGGCCTGGCGACAGTCGCGAACAGTAACCCACTCTGCCGAAATCCAGCACTACTCGCAGAACCATGGGATATCGCGATATTAGAACTTGGACGAAGGACATGGAAGAATCGGGAACGTCAGAAGGGGCTACTTTGTTATTGGGTGATAAAAAACTTCGCTGGTTGTCGCCACTTCTGTCTGGAAGAAACGTGTCAATTGCCTGATAACCGCTTTGATGTTTCTACCGGACTTCCATGAATTTAACGGTCAGATCGCGCGGCTCGGGACGCAATTGACAGATTGCCTCAGATTGGGGCAATCTTACCCGTTCCGAACCGACCCGACCCGACCGACAGCAATCGGACTCAAGTCCTTAGGCCCCAGTGTTGCGTGCTGAGCGACATGGGTGTGGTACGTACTTGGAAAGGTTCTATATTATGAGGATTTGTATCGTAAACATCGCCAAAATGGGGACAAAATAATAGAAGCACACGCTCATGGGACTGCTGTGCACGCACGACAAGTCAGTGACCAATTAAAATTGACTCTCGCGGATGCCTGCGTCAGCAGTAGCTTTTGCCCCACCAAACTAGCATTCACTTCACTGGCAATTTTTTATCCAAACCCAGCACCTAGTGTGTGGCGTGGAAGTGTGGGTCCTTCCTTCCTAATGTGGTCCACGCGAAGATCATAAGTGGATCCCTCGTACTGTACAGTAGTGCCACGGAGATAGGCTGTCACCTCACCATTCAAAGCCACACTCGTTCCAGGCTTGCACGCGCGCCTCACGTCACGTCACGTCCCTCCCACACAAACCAAATCACCCTACCATCGCGAATGCTGGGTTTTGATCTGAGCAGTGTTTGATGATTCTCGTAGGGACATTTACTCTGTAAAAATGTAATTGTGGCTTCAGCAAATTCCCGCTTTCGCAAGAAGGAACGTGATCCGCCCGCGGACGGATCATGAACTGTTTTAGGGCGTGTCCGAAGTGAAACGTCGATGGATGTCGGCGGATGTCGGCAAATCTTGACGGTCGGAATCCCCGATCCGAGGGCTGATATTCATCGACATCCCCAAACGGATGTCAGCGGATGTCGACGTTTCACTTCGGACACCCCCTTATAATTTCACTAGGCTACTCACAAATTCCAAAGTTGCTGTGGCTGACTGCCATTTTCTGCCAGAGTGTCTGATTTGTTGCAAGAGATTGGGAAGAGGAGAAAGGGGAAGGGGAAGGGAGAAAAAAGAAACGGGGGGCAGGAGGCAGGGCAGATCGTAGGGAGGGTAGTGGTGGTTCTAGAGACGATGAAGAGGGAACGGATGAGAGAGGTTGGAAGGGTGGAGGCAGGGGGACAAGCATGGGGACAGGTATGGGCACAGGCATGGGTACAGGCATGGGGACAGGCATGGGTACAGGCATGGGGACAGGCATGGGGACAGGTATGGGAACAGGAATGGGTGCAGGCATGGGTACAGGTATGGGTATAGGGAGAGACATCACAGGAATGGGGAGTAGAGACGTTACAATGACAGAGGGTGACGCTAAGGCAGCGGGTGACGCTAAGGCAGCAGCTGAAGCTGCTGCGGTGGCTGCTGCTGCTGGACTGTCGTACCTGCAGCAGCGACACCAGCTGTTGCTGCTGCGGCAGCTGAGGCAGCAGCAGCAAGAGCAGCAGCAAGAGCAGCAGCAAGAAGAGCAGCAGCAGCAGCAACAGGCATTGCTGCAGCAAGCTCGTCGGCGAATCCAGCAGCAGCAGGAGCAGCAGCAATCACAGCAGCAGAGTCAGTGGCTGGATCTTCTGCAGCAACAGCTGCAGGAGCAGCAGCACGAGCAGCAGCAGCAGCAGCAGCAACAAGCCCTGCTGCAGCGATCTCAGGAGCAAGCCGAGCAGCAAGCTGAGAAGCAGCGGCGGCAGCAGCAAGAGCAACAGCAGCAGAGGCAGCATGAGGTGCTGCAGCAGCAAGCCTTGATGCAGAGAACTCGGCAGAAAGCTGAGAAGGAGCAGGAAAAATCGCAGCAGGAGCAGAGTCAAAGGCTGGAGAATCAGCAGCAAAATCAGTGGCTGGAGCAGCAGCAGCAGCAACAACAGCAGCAGCAGCAGCAGCACCAAGCCCTGATGCAGAGAGCTCGGCAGGAATCTGAGCAGGAGCAGGAGCAATTGCAGAAGGAGCAGAGTCAGAGGTTGGGGATTCAGCAGCAGCTGCTGTTTCTGCAGCAGGGTTTTGAGCAGCGAGCAAACCAGCGGCAGGAGGTGCAGGCAGCAGGGCAGCAGCAGGCACAGCGGCAGGAACAACAACAGGCAGAGCAACAGGCTGCACAATCACTCTCACAGCAACAGCAACAGCTGCAGCTGCTTCTTTTGAGGCAACTGGAGGAGCAGGCAAGACAGAGGCACGAGGGGCAGGAAGCAGAACAGCAGGCACAGCAGCAGGCGCACCAACAGACACAACAACAGGCAGCACAATCGCACGCACAGCAACAGCTGCAGCTGCTTCTTCTGAGACAACTGGAGGAGCAGGCGAGGCAGAGGCAGGAAGAGCAAGAATCAGAGCAGCAGACACAGCAGCAGGCGCAGCAACAGACACAACAGCAGGCAGCACAATCACACGCACAGCAACAGCAACAGCTGCAGCTGCTTCTTCTGAGGCAACTGGAGGAGCAAGCAAGGCAGAGGCAGGAAGCGCAAAATACAGTCCAATCGGCAGTGCACCATCGGGATCCATCAGCCGAGCAGCATCGCCGCCGCCGCCGCCGCTGCTGCTGCTGCTACTGCCACTGCTACTGCTGCCACTGCTGCCACTGCTGCCACTGCTGCTACTGTTGCTGCTTCTTCTGATGCTGCTGCCACTGCCGCTGCTGCTGCTGCTGCTGCTGGTGGTTCAATGGCTGGTGGTGGTGATGGTGGTGGTGGTGGTGGTGGTGGTGGTGGTGGTAGTGGTGGTGGTGGGACCGTTTCAGTTTCATCTGGTGCTGGTTTCAACGCCCCGCCTCATGCTGCCGCCCAGCATCCAGCTCAGCTTCCCTTGGACCGTCTTCCTGGCATGCCGGGGCAGCGGCCGGGCGGGTATTCTTGTCCTGTCTGCGGCAACGTTTTCCCCACGTCACAGGCACTTGGTGGTCACATGACGTGCCATGTGGCGCGACGTAAGAGGGCGTCTCGAAAGGGGGAGGTTGGAGCAGCAGCAGCGCCTAAAACAGGACCGGCAGGAGGGAGAGGAGCAGTGAGAGGAGCAGGTAGAGGAGGGGAGGGAGGAAGAGAGGGAGAGGAAGGGGGAGGGGGAGGGGGAGGGGAAGGGGGAGGGGGAGGGGGAGGGGGAGGGGGGAGGGGGAGGGGGAGGGGGAGGGGGGAGGGGGAGGGGGAGGGGGAGGGGGAGGGGGAGGGGGAGGGGGAGGGAGAGGGGGAGGAAGAAGAGGAGGAGGGGGAAGATGGAGAGGAGAAGAAGGAATAGGAGACGGAGGTAGAGAGGGGCTATCTGATAGAGCGAGAGGGAGTGCTGGTGGTAGCGCCACAGCTGCACCTTTTAAATCTCGCCCCAATCTCCCATCACAACCCACTTCATATTCTCCATCAAAACACAAGGCGAGCGTGATGCACCACCCTTCCACTTCTGGTGCCAGCAGTGGCAGTGCTGCTGCTGCTGCTAGTGCTGGTGCTGGTGGGAGCGCTGCTGCTAGTGCTAGTGCTAGTGCTAGTGCTACCGCTGCTGCGAGTGCTGATGCCAGTGCTGCAGCTAGTGCTGGTGCTAGTATTGGCACTCCTGCTGCTGCTAGTGGCGGTCGATCTCGCTTGAAGGAAGCATCACAGCGTCGAGTATCCGCTGCTACTGCTGCCTCTCCTGCTTCTGCTGCTGATCCGGCTGCTCCTTCTTCTGCTGCTGCTCCTGCTACTCCTGCTATTGCTGCTTCACCCTTTGCTTCTGCTGCCACTGCCAATGCCACTGTCACTGCCTCTCCTACTGCAATTTTATCGATTCCGCAGCTACTGGAACGCAATCCAACCCTGGGCGCAGGACTGGGCCGCAACCTAAACTTTAGCCTAGGTCCGAACCTCGGCCAAGGCCCGAGCCTTGCAGACGGACAACCGAGCCTGCTGCAGTACGTTGGCCCCATGCCTCGTCGAGACGCCCTGCCTTCACTAAAACCAACTTCGCTAGTATCACCTTCATTTAGAGCACCTTCGTTCGCGCCTCCTTCTCTAATACCTCCTTCATCAATATCTCCTTTATTAGCACCCCCTTCAACTGCTATAGTGAGCACGGAGATGGCAATCGCGCCTTCCACATTTCTAGCTACGGCTCTTCATACTGCAGCAATGGGAATCCCGCTACACCTAAGAACTGTCTCCACTGAAAGGGCTTTTAACGAGGAGGCTAATAGGGCATACACTGGAATGGCTTCTACTGAAGAAGCTACAGGAAGAGGAGGGAGGGAAGAGACTGGGAGGGGTGCCGAAAGAGGGAATGGAAGTGGGAGTGGGAGAGGGAGAGGGAGCAGGAGCACGAGAGGAGCAATGGATACAGAAGTAGCTCTTGCTTTAGCTACTGTGGATACTCTGACTCAAATCAGTCATGCTGATACGGCCTTGCAGGCTGGGGTGAGTCAGTACAAGGGTGAGGATTTGGAAGGATTGGAATTGACTCTGCTCATGAGTCCCGCGTCACAGAGCTCTGTGAATGCTAATCCTGAGAATGTCAACACTGCGAATGTCATCCCTGCGAGTAAACAAGAGGAAGCAGGGATGGGTTCCTTAAACATGAGGCAGAGGCAGAACTGGTAGTATGCTTCTCACGCTCCAGACTAGCCTTATGCAATGTCATGAAATTCAGCGACTGAAAAAAGGTCAGTAGGAGGTGAAAGAAAGCTTTGCCAATCTAGAGTGTTCTTGTTTCCATGACCTGGGTTGTATATATAATTACTGAAAGTTTGTCCTTCACACTGCGACATCTACATACGGTATTCCACACTGCATAGATGTGGTTACGTATGTGTTCAAAGACAGAAGAAATTTGACACTGCCTATACTTCGGGGAAAATATGCCATAAGTAACCAACTTGGTGTTGCGATCAAAAGGTGATCGCTCCCAGGATCTCCTCAGGAAGGTTCGCACACAGCTAGGTAGTGTTGGTGGGCCCTTGGTCAAGGGGTGAGCAAGTGAGGCAAGGTAGGCACAAGACCCAGCTGAGTACAGAAGCGCTGATGATCACAAGGCGCAAGTGCCTTGGTGAAGATATCGGCAGTGTTGGCCTGAGAGGCCACGTACGCAAGGCGTAGCTGACCACGCTGCTGTAGCTCACGAGCAAGGAAGTAGCGAAGAGCAATGTGCTTCGTTCTGTGCTCCAGTCTCTGCTCCCGACACAAGGCCAGCATGGCCTTGTTGTCTACGTACAGCACTGGAGGAGAACGAGGCGGCTCTCCGAGGTCAGTCAGCAGGTAGGTGAGCCAGCGAAGCTCCTGTGCAGCCATGGCCCCTGCGTAGATCTCAGCCTCACAACTGGAGCCGAGAACAGAAGACGAGCGGGTAGCCCGCCACGAGACAGAGCCGGAACCAAGGCTGAAGGTGTAACCCTGTGACGACCGCTGCGTAGCCTGGTCGTCAGCCCAAGAAGCGTCTGCGTGCCCAGTGAGGACCACTGGACTCTGCCCTCCAAGCACAAGCCCCATGCCCGACGTACTGCACAAGTAGCGCAACACCCTCTTCGCTGCAGCCATGTGCTCCGGTCTGTGTCTCCCAGGAGCAACATAGCGTGCGAGAATGCTAAGAGGGTATGCAAGGTCAGGTCGAGTGCAGGTCATCAGGTACATGAGGCAGCCAACAAGCTCTGGGTACGGGCCACTCGACTCTACGGACTCATCCGAAGGCAGAGCTGAGAGCGAGTGGCGAGTAGGCAGAGGAGTGGCCTGAGGCGAGGAGTACGTGAAGCCGAAGCGCTGAAGGACCTGCTGCACCATGTGTGACTGAGTCAGGGTAATGGTGCGGCGTGCTCTGTCCCGGGTGATCTGCAAGCCAAGGTAGCTGCGCAGTTCACCCAGGTCTGTGCACGTGTGTCTCTTCTGCAGCTCGGACTTCACGTGGGCGAGTCCAGCAGTGTCAGCTGTGGCAAAGACCAAGTCGTCGACGTACACGAGGATGTAGAACGGCGGCAAAGAAGTGTCGGTGCGCAGAAACAGCGACGGGTCGGCAGTAGAGGGAGCAAACCCAAGAGCCGCAAGCGTAGTCCTCAGTGTGTCGTGCCACTCACGCGGTGCCTGGCGGAGACCGTAGACTGGCCGCCGGAGGCTCCACTGGGTGCCAGGAGGAAAAGTCCCAGTGAAGCCAAGTGGGCGGCGCAGCCAGATCTCCTCGTGCAGGCTGCCCTGCAAGAAAGCGGTGCTGAAGTCAAGAGAGTGTAGCTCGTAGTCACGGTGAGCAGCTATGTGCAGCAGTACCCGAAGAGTGGTCATCTTCGGGGTGGGAGAGAAGGTCTGAAAGTAGTCAACTCCCTGCCGCTGACTGAAGCCACGAGCCACGTAACGCGCCTTGAAGACAGGCGGAGAACCTGGCGGCCGCTTCACCCTGAAAATCCACATGCCACTGACGATGTTCGCCCCAGGCGGGGGAACCTCGTCAACGTAGGTGCCTGTGGACTTCCAGGAAGCCATCTCTGCGTCCATAGCTGCCTGCCACTGAGAGGAGTAGGGACCCTCTATCGCCTCCGCGTAAGAGCGCGGAGTCGGGATGTCAAGTGCATCCGGGTCTCCCTCAGGGGTAAGCAGTACGGACACGAGATGAGGTGAAGCAGCAGCCAAACACTGGAACTCCTCCTGGCTGTCCTCAAGGACGTCCGTGCCAAGGGCACACTCACCCCCGACGGACGGAGGACAGACAGACGCAGGCGCAGCAACAAGACTAGCAGCGTAGTCTAGACGACATCGAGCAGCAAAGTCGACGAGCTCAGCAACTAGGGCAGACGCAGCAGTGGACTCAAAGGAAGGGTCAGTGACAACAGTAGTAAGGAGACGCGTGACAGTCGGACTGGCAGCACGAAGGGAGTCCGACTCCGGGTCAGCAAGAGCAGGAAGAGAGGACTCAGGAGGAGAAGGCAAAGGGGCACGCAGAGGAGCAGTGGACGGACAGAGAGACATCCGGTGCGTGCCGGGCACAGGGGGAGGACGCTGACGCGAACCACGACCACTAGCGCGAGCAGCACGGACAGGCGACGCAGGACGAGACGCAGGCTCACGACGCTCAGCAAGACCTCCAGTAGGACCAGTGTAGGGAGAAGGAGCAGGCAGTGGGGAGGCCGGCTGTAACTGTAACTGTGACGGGACAGGCTGTGGACACTCTAAGGGAGGAGGAGGACCAGTAGAAGGCGGGAGACCAAGAACCTGCTCAAGAAGCGGAACGAAGTACGGCCGAGGCCGCGCAGCGACTCCAGACACAGCAGGGACAGCACCAGTACCCCCAGTGGTAGCACCAGCGCCAGCAGCACCTCCAGCTCCAGTACCCCCAGCAGCACCAGTAGCACCCCCAGCAGGACCGCCTCCAGTACCGCCAGCAGTACCCTCAGCGCCAACACCCTCAGCAGCTCCAGCTCCAGTAGTACCCGCAGGCCCAGCAGCTCCAGTACTCCCAGTACGAGCACCTCCGGGACCCGTGGCACCAGCACCCTCAGCAGCCGAAGAACCTCCAGCTCCAGCAGCACGCCTCCAGCGCCGGGCAAACCACTCGCGCACCTCCTGTGGAGAGAGTGGCTCCCGTCGAGACGGAGCACCCAGAGAACCTCCAGGCCCAGCACCGCTAGACGCCACACGAGCAGGCCCAGCTCCCTCAGGCTCCGCACCCCCAGGCTCAGCACCTCCAGGCGTAGCACCCCCAGGCTCAGCACCCCCAGTCGTAGCACCCCCAGGCTCAGCACCCCCAGACTCAGCACCCCCAGGCTCAGCACCCCCAGTCGTAGCACCCTCAGGCTCAGCACCCCCAGGCTCAGCACCCCCAGGCGTAGCACCCACACGCTCAGCACCCCCAGAGTCAGCACCCCCAGGCTCAGCACCCCCAACAGCACCAGAGTCACCAGCGACCTCCACAGGCTCGACTGCGTCTACCTGGGACACACCTGAAGGGGCAGGACCCTGAGGGGGAAGGGGGTCTACCGGGGGGGGACCTGGCACAAGGAAGAGCGGAGGCGGGGGGAGGGACGGAGTGCGGTAGGGGAAGAGACGGTAGTAGGGGACCGACTCGTCAAACGTGACGTCCTGGGAGGACAAGATACGGCGAGAGGTGGGGTGGTAGAACTGCCACCCTGGCGCGTCAGGGGGGAAGCCAAGGAAGACGCAGGGAGCAGCACGAGGGGACAGCTTGTCCGCAGACATGTCGCGGACAAACGCCCGAGATCCCCAGACACGGAACGCAGACGCATCGCCAACCTTCCCCGTCCACAGCAAAGCTGGGGAGGTCTCCGGCATGGAGAC